TTTCTTTAAATGTTTAACACTAATTCTAATTAAAGATTTGCCAATTATATAATTATATAATATCGTTGAGGAAGATCATATCTTCTCTAATTAATTGCATTAATGGCAATTGAATGATAACGCAAATTATCACATATGTGATAATCAAAGATAATCGCTAAATTGAAGAGCTAAAAGAAGTCGAGAACCGCGAAGTTGTAGGAAGAAGTTATTGATATTAATATGCGAGATAAGAGAAATAATGGATAGCATCTGCAGCGACTACTTGGAACTTTGACAATTACCTGGGCGTATCTGACTTTGTCATAGGGCTGGCCGAACAATATATTGTCTCTTACGGTACCACCGAAGAGCCAGGGTTCTTGACTGGCGTAGGAGATCCGTAGATTCGGGTTATTCGTGAAGTAGCCATTGTTCAGGGTACCTTGAAGGCTGTTCTTCAAAGAGTCCTGAGTGAGGATCACCGTTCCCGCACCGGGGTCCAGCTCCTTCAGCAGCAAATAGAGCAAAGACGATTTGCCAGAACCCACGGGACCGACCAGGGCACATAGCGTACCCGGTTGGATGGTCAGGCTGATGTTGCACAACGTCGGCGGCAGCTGGCCGTTGATCCAATTGGCAGAAACGCGCTGAATCTTCACGCAAACCGGAAGATCGGGCGACGCCTGTGCGATCTCGGCACTTCCATCTTTCGAAATGTACCTGTCCGCTGGATTCTCCGCGTCCTCAGCCGTCCCGTTTGTTCTCCGAGATTCGGATTGCGACGTCTTCTCCGTCTCTTGTATGTTCACCTCGTTCATCAACAACAGATCCTGCAACAAGTTTAATACACACAAATCTCAATTATTGCGCAAGTACGCGTCGATCAAAATACTGGAGAATAGAAAAAAAAAAACAATGAGTTTAAGAGAATTCGGTGCGAAATTTGACACGTAATTAACGTACACGTACCTCCAATCGGTTCATGGAAACCATTGACTCGCCCAGCTGTATCAGCGCTTGTGGAAAGTACAACGCGGTAGTCAGCTGGAGAATGTTGAAATAAGTCGCCATTACATACGTCACGTCGGCGGTCAGATTATTTCCCGTCAGGACGAACATTATTAGCGTGAAGTAAAGGATAATTCGCTCAGTGAACACTATGATAGCCAGATATGTGGCGCGCACATACGACGAGAAGGTTATTATTTTAATTTCTAATCCTCGGGTCATGCACACGATCTTACTGAACGGCTTTTCCCAAGCGTACATTTTCACCACCTGAAAGCAAGAAAGAGATTTTTCGAAAAAATTTGTTTTGCAATGATCGCTCTCTTGTAAAATTTCACGCCAGGTTTCTTTGGCGAAAATGAAAAGTAGAGCGTAAGCGTGTTGAATGTAACGTAAAACAAGTCATCATTTAGAAGCTTCCTTTAATGCTCCCTTTACATTCCAATTTGTTACCAATCTATTCCCCTTAGAAACGTTTGCTTAAAGCTTTCTGTCACCGTTCCCTTACATTTACAGTTTAGGCTCCAATTTTTATTTTCGCCAGAGGTCTTCATCCTTCCTTCGTTCATCATCATCATTGGCTGTCAATCATCAATTGTTGTTAAGAACAAAATAATGGATTAAATATTCCTGGAAATACCTGTATCCCAGCTACGAGCTCGCTCATCAGTTGCACTCTTCGATCAGTCAGTGGGGCAATCATGGCTCTAATACTACGGCTCAGAAGACTAACGCTTCCCTGTACGATTAAGCTGATAATTAACAGCGATCCAACGCCAACAAAAAGCGAAATGCCGACCTTATCCCACATTACATATCCTATTATCACGATCTGCAAATAAGGAAAATTCAAATTAACGTCAAATCGCACATTGTTTTTTTCTAAACCAATGTAAAAAGGAAAAGAGGAGTCAATCTCTCTACAATTTAAATTAGCCAATGAAAGTATAAAATATATGTGTATACAAATAAATACAATATATATTTTCTATAAGTTAAACTATCATAATAATAATAATAATCGATATACCTATTAATAGTTTATAAAAAAACGTTATTTTATTTTAGTTAAAGAAATAGGTAATAATTATAGGATTATAAATGCAAAAGATATTTCGGATATTTTTGAATGAATAAGAAAATTAAAAAATTAAATTGATTTTTTTTAAAAGAAGAAAAGAGCTAAAAACATGATATAGGTATAAAATAATATTATTAAAAAAATAATAACTTAAGTAGTCATGTAAGTCATGTTTTTCTGAAAATTTCCAAATTTTTTCGAAAATTTTAATTTCTCCACAGATTTTAGAATGCTAAGTTGAAAAAAATATGCTATTAATGTTTAGTTCGAAATATTCTATGTACGATATACTTTTCTCGAAATAAAGAATTACCTGAAATGGCATAATCCACACATAATTCAAAAACATTGTCAACTGATCGAAACGAGTAACATCGTTGCTAAGAAGATTCATAATTTGCCCAGTACCAGTTTGAGTCATGGATGCTTTATTTATCCGTAATAACTGGAATATTAAAAAAAAAAATATTTGTAATAAAATTTTTTTATCTTAAAAATCTTTTTTTTTTCAAATGCCATTATGCCAAATTTTCAAATAACATTATTCGCGATATTTGCGTCATAACAAGCGAGTCAAATAAGTTTAAAAAGTTTGATCTTCTGAACTCCAAAAGTCAACTTGTGTCAAATAATATTGTAAAATAATATAATCCAAAAGTAGTAAAAAAATTTTAAAAATTATTCTAGTTTAAAATTAAATTAGTAGTAATTGTAAAAATAATGTTAAATATTAGACACGCTTTAAGAGCAAGCGGGATATTTTTCTACTTTTTCTTGCGAATGAAAACTGCTATTTTCCATTTGGTTGCGTTTTTTTTTTCATTTGCATAGCAATTTATTTACTATTTCGAAAGATAACGCTACGCTCAAAAGACATGTGTCATTCTGTGATGCATATTCGCGGGGTACCAGCAAACGTGTTATCAGTCAAAAGTCGAAGGACGAGCTTAATGAAGGTGATATCTGATCACCACAAATAGCCAGGCACTTATTTACTATTTCTTTAAATTATAATATATAACTGCAGCTATACTCGGCTAACTTCTTCCTTCGCATATGCACATTATAAAAAAATATTACAAAGTTGTTACAAAATTTTAAAAGGATAGATTTCATAGCTTGCAATAAATCTTCAAAGGTGGAGGCTAAAAGAAAAAAATTACTAATAAATGATTAGCAAAAAATTTTAACTCGTATATAATTATATACGCAGAAAAGACCTGACGTCATTGGGTGCAATACAAATTCTTAATTATGGCAACTTGTAGATTCAAAATTAATTAAATATCAATTAAATGTAAGAAGAAAACATATATTAAATATATATTATGGACTTTGCTCTGAATATTTTGAGCGATTATATAAATGAAGAGAAATTGATAACCTGTGTCGGTGTGTTACTGACACGTTCATTTTACATTTTTAACGCATTTTTAGACTGAACATTTTTCCGAGCAAGAAGCTCGGAAATGGTCGACAGCGAGCGTATGCAAATAACCGCGAGATAACAAACTCAATGTGACCAATCGCTTCTTCGAGCAACAAGGAAAACGCGTTTAAAATTAATTTTCTTTGACATTGAAATAAATCTACTTTCCAAATAATCCAAAGATTGGTTTATATTTGAACGAGTGATTCCGAGCAAGTTGACGCAAATCTTTCGCGCCGAGCCGTAACGTTGCGTAAAGGTACAAACAAAAGTGTCCTCTTTTCATCTAGAGAGAAGAGAGCTTTTCTCTTAAAAAAAAAAGGATCGGATTGCATCATTCAATCGCAAATTAATTCAACAACATTACCTTTCGGTAGAGGAGAGAACTGCAACTGATGCGAACTCTCATGCCGATCTGCTGCGAGAGCATTAGCGCATGGTGCATTATCATAACGGAGATGATGTTGCAAATGATCAGGAAGGCGACGTAGACCAGTGCCTCATCCCTCTCTATCTTATAGTCCGTGTTCGAATTATTATCAAAGTAGTCGATGATCCAACCCTGAAGGACCGGCACTATTACGCGCACCGCGCAACACTAAAAGCAGAAAGCCCGTTAAAATTCAATTCAACCCCCCAACGGCCGTCGTTAAACAGTCGAATTTGTTTAAGAAGAAAAAGAGAGCCCGCAATTATTATTAACGCAAATTTTTTTCTTCTTTCTCCTTAACTTAAATCTAATGGAAAGGAATAGGATCACGATTTTTTTTCCGTCATTCTGTCATAAAATACTTTCAGATATACTCGGTGGCATCAATCGCCTGATACAAATATACGACATTGATTGAAGTAGAAGTATATCGGATAGGATTTTTTATTAAAAAAATATCGATATACTTGGATAAATGAGTAAATCCCTATTATGAAATATGGCAGCCAGAAAGCGTAGAATATCGCTTTATATAATCGTGGGCGGGCGTTCTTTTTCAACGGTACTTTCTGCCCATCTTTGCCCACAGTATATTCCAGATTCTTCAGCTTCTCGAGTTCGCGTTTCCAGTATCTGGACAAAAAAAATGCGTTAAGGCGTTTGTGTTCTTATATAAAGTTACTTTAAAAAAAGAATGAAAGACGAATATTGACGAATCCATTAATCAGAAAATATTTTTGCAATCATATCGTGTTTAAGATTCGCGTTCTTTTTAGCAAAGAACAAATTTTATCAAACAAATCTTCAATTTCATGAGATTTCTTGCGATTCTTCTTATTTTATCTATGTAAATTTCAGGACTTTTATTTGGCAAATATAATATTTAATGTTATAATCTGACGTTTTAATATAATATATATATATATATATATATATATATATATATATTATTA